CGGTAAATGAGATGCAATGCTGTGATCCGTATATGAAAAGGCCTTGCTTATCTCACCGTCTGTTGGGGGGATTGATTTACTTTGGTTTACACAGGTTTTATTTTTACAAAGCAAGTTACTTTCACGGACGGCACAGGTCTCAGCTCGTCCATCCCGTCACCGCAACACGAGTGTGCATACATACATACAGCAGTCAATGCTGGTAACCATCCATTACGAGGCTTATCAATTTATGCTTTGCTGTTGTTCCTATCAATAGCAAACAACAACACATCGCGGTGAACAACGGTGAACAACAAACTTGATTTCTGGAAGGCTTCGGCTTCGTCTTTACGGCGCGATCTCGGCACATTCAGCGATTTGACCCGAGCGCGATAAGCCATCCTCTCTCTCTCTCTCTACACTGCTCTACTGACTCTATTCAAAGAGTCTTGGCGAATTCTTTGATTGATTGATAGATAGAGAATACTTACAGCACAGTTGGCTACCTGCTCGGCCTCACGCCCCCCATTATTCACCCATATCTTGACACAACCGCCATAACCAGAGCCTTCAGAGGCCCTGAGAGTCTCTGACTCTTCCTTTTCTCCCCACGGATCCGCTTCGGCCACCCCATCCCCCCTCAAGAATTACCAGTGACAGGCGTTGTATCCGCTCCGCCCGTCCACTTAGCCGCCTCTGTATCGCCCTGGTTTTCCTCTTCCAGGTCTCTCTGACTCGAATATCCCACCGCTCTTTCCTCTCGCCACGCCCCCCCTCTCCCGTCGTCTCCTCTCTTCACGTTCACCTCCTCTTCTTCTCCCGTCACCTCGTCCCGACACCCCCTACACCTCGGTCGGGAGCAATCCACAGGCTGAATTTCAGCAGCAGGGAGCCTAAACGACAGGGCAGTTGGCAGCGGTATCTGGTTCTCTTCCCGGCGACCGAACTTGAGGACCCTTGACCCGCACTCGCACCCGTTCTCGGCCGCACCCACAGGCTCAGGCTCAGGCTCAGGTCCTCTGTCACCTCTGTACACCCCACGCCCCTATCGCAAATCATCTATTCCATTCCACACCCTCACCCAACCCAACCCGATCTTTCTTCTCATCTCACACGCCCCTGGCCTCCCTTAGCCGGCTGCCTGCCCGTTCTGCTTCATTCTTTTATATCTACCCGCATCCCCAGGTTTTCATCCCAAAGGATCCATTTATCTGCCGTCCACAGAACAACATCATTAAGCCAAGTGATCACCACTTTCACTTGCTATTTAGCAACAGCTACAGCTCTCTGAGCTTCACTCAAGACCATCACTTCGCCCATCACCAGTATCACAACCGCAACAATGTTCGGCTCATACAGTTCCATCAGCTCCATGTGCGCGTCTTCAGCGCCCATGGATATCGCGTCTCGCAACATCTACCGATCTCAGGATTCCGCCTGCGCTTTTCCATCATGGCCCCGACGTGACTCTCTCTCCGAGTCTGATCGAGAGGAGCGACCCACCTCTTATCTATCCGACGACGATCTGTTCCTCTCCGATCCCTTCGACGATGACGCCCAGAGCGTTTCCAGCGCCGGCAGCTCTTCTCCTGGTGCCATGGCCTCTCCTCCCAATGTCATCACCGACTTCGAGCTCATCCAGGCCGAGCGCGAACGCCAGGCCGCTTTGCAACGCGAGTGCCTTCGCGTTGTCGCCCTCGAGAAGGAGCGTCGACGTGCCGCCGCACGAAAGCAGCGCCGTAGCAGTTCTCACAAGAAGAGTCCCAAGACCAAGCTCACCTCCATCAACGAGGAGGCTGTTGAGTAAACAAGCTCTGGGAACTTCTTAATGACTGTTACGATTTACGATAGCGTATGTTTACATGTTACCTCGAGACAGCAACAGTCACTAACAATGTTTTAGGCTGCTTTTTGCATTTACATGGCATATGATACCCCACACAACACAATACATCTACAGCATCGCATGTGCACAAGAATAGCTGCACATGCCATATTCATCTACACCACCATTTCCATCATATGAGATGGGAAATCTCTTCACACAACCACAACAACCACAACAAGCTGTCACTCGCTCTACAATACCGGGCAACCTTATTCAGCTGTCGGATCGACTTGTAGCCGCCGGCTTGATTTTCGGGAAACAACTTGACACCACCACTATCTTGGTCGATGACGCCATGGTTAGACCGCCTCAGACCCCAGCAAATCAGAGGTGGGGGTGGGGGTTCAACCAAGAATGAGTCAGATGGATGAGCCAGGCTTTGGACAACAATAACAATCAGCAATCAAGTCGAGCACCATCATTCTTCCATTAATTCCTGAAACTTTCCGATCGCGGCCGAAGTTGACGCCGCCGGGCGGGTGGAAGCTCCCCCATCTAGACATCCCTTCTAGTTGATGTGGATGTTTCTTCTCCGGACCGTCGGCGACCTCGGCCATCTACCGCTCACTTTCTTGTCTTCCCCCGCATGGCGGCCCGGTAAACGGATTCGTCTTCGGTTCATCACTATCCGCTTGCTACTTTTCTCTCTCTCTTGTTGAGGCTTTTAATCGAGCCCGACATTTTATCTTTTCCGTCCCGGTTCACCGGGCTCATTATTGAGTTTATTTAATCGTTTTCGTTTTCGCACACCCTCTTAATGGAAAGCATTCATGTATTTGGAGTTCTTAATATTGCATTGTCTACTGGCTTGCATCATCATAGGGCATGGGACATTTGGATACAGGTTATGCTTCAGCCTCCCACCACTGGGATGAATCAGCTGGCACACACTTGGCATATGGAAAGGGAAACATTGGCATGGCATGGCATGGCACTGCATAGCATTGGATATGCACATCATACTGCATGGTTTACACGGCGATTTGGGCTTTTAGATACCTTAGGATAGTTTGGCGGCCTTGAGCCTGCCCTGATTTCAAGATACCCCCTTAGTTAGCATCAACAATCATATCTGGCATACACATCTACTCTACCTAGCTCTTGTCTTTGATTCATGTGATGTACCACTTCTGCTTGTGACTCTGCTCTGGTCTCGAGGCGCTTAGCACTCTGTATTATCAACCAACCTATGGGCATACCCAAGCTTGGCAATAATAAAAGGCCACAAGCCAATCTCACAACAGCGTGTGCCACAACAAAACCCTATCACCCAATAGCCATCAACCATTACCGATGCACACTTTTCGAGTACCGGCGACAATAGGGACCTATCTATTTTCTAGCCTTGCCCGTTCCCGTGCCGGGTCCTTCGAGGTCAAGCTGCTCTGTCACATGGGGGCATAACGCCTTAACCGCGGGGTTGGTGGAGAGGGCGGTGAGTAGGAGATCGGCGATAAGAGACAATGAAAATTCACGTGGTGAGCTTGTGATTGAGAACAGGAGCTTTTGATGTTTTTTTGCTTGTGGCTGGGGGTTTGGATAGGAAACATGATTGTGCTTGTGAAAGGATATCGGTAGTTGGTGATGGATGTGAGTGAGTGAGTGAGTGTCAAAGAATCGTGCACGGTTGGGGATGTTAGTTTAGATCGCGGGGAAGACGGCATTTGCTTTGTTTGCTGTGCTTTTAAGTTGGTTTGTCCCGTGTGGCTTGATAGGTTAAATGTAGGTATTTTATATATAGATGTTTGTACTGATATAAGCTTTGTATTGTTAAGAGTGTTGTTCTGGGCTGTGTGTATACTAACAACCTTAACTCAGGAACAACAAACACAAAGAGACTACAGACTTTCAACGGGCGCTTGTGCCACCTTCATGTAGATCATGTCTCAAACGATTTAGATGCCGTTGAGTCTTTGTTTGATATGGGGGTGTTCATCGCGCTGGTGATGCCGAAGGCGCGAGGTGAGAAAAGTGAAACTGACACCAAAAGAAGCCAAGAATAGAACTACAACGAGACGTTAAACGGTCTGAACGGGAGTGCCCGATATGGGATAGGCCATCTGGCTTAGAGTAGCCGAGATAGGACAGACTCGTGCTTTGAGTTACCTTTGTTTCAGTGACCATCTCGATGTCTGGCTCTGTTGTTCGCATTCTGAGGGTATACATGAACGCAGATATCCGGGCCTAAGCTTTATACAGCATGAAATTGAGACCTTCTAGAGGTCTGAGTTGTTCTCGCATTGTTTGTGTGACAATCGAGAAGTTGGAGAGAAGGGTCTTTGACGATCTGGAGCATGCTGCTCGTGGACGACAGGACTCCCTCGATCGAGATCAACAGATGCATCGTGTCACATAAGAGATTCTTTTAAGATTCATGGTAGGACATTGGAGTTCTTGATGTGCTTTTGTTCATCATGTAAGAAGTCTCCTTTCTTTCTAGCGAGGTTCGATGTAAGTCAGATTGAGTTTTCAAGACCGATATCAAGGAGCAAGCACAACCGGACCATGAACTAGACATGAATTCGAGAGAAACTCGGTAAATACCACTTCGAACAATCTGCGATTCGTTTAGGACAGCAAAGGCCAGACCAATTGAGGAACTGGCCCTGAAGAATCACATGGACTTGTACCGGGGAAGACGGGAACGCAGCATACTGTGAGTCCTTAGCCAGGGCCTATGAACTATTCACTTGAGGATGAGCTTTCATTATGGAAATATATGCCAGGTATTGTTTACCCATGATGTAGTTCCGTGGCTTTGAGGATAGCGAGGTCGCCAACACCATCACGTCTACAGAACGCCCCCTCGAGCATCTCAGCGATGCGACTGGCAGAAGCTGACTCTCACATAAGTGAGTCTAGTAAAATTAAAACTCAGGATTATATTCACAGATGTTATAACTCGTTCCCGCTGCTCATATTCATTCATGATATAGCCCTACGACGACTTGATCTGGCCAGATTCTTTTATCCAGCACATGGAGAATATAAGTGAAAACTACCTTATCTTCATAGATTTCCAAGCGATATAAGACTATAATATTAAAATTCCATGATATTTGCGTGATGTTGTACGGCATGAGGTAAGCTTGATTAGAAACCTCATTGCGATCATCATGTTCCCCGCATCATGGATTTGTCAAGCCTCACTCCCTCAACCTCAGTACTCACAAGTCAACTCACCACCAGCACCTATAAGAATAAAGGTATGAAAGACTTTACCCTGGATCTTATAGTTCATACAAGAAATTGACGTGTACTTGATACATGTACAGCAAAAATGATCAGCGACCAAGATCTGGAGCATCTCCGTCTGGCAGTCTCACTCGCCCACGAAGCCCTCAAAGCAGGAGACGCCCCTTTCGGCTCAGTGCTCGTCTCATCAGACAACAAAGTCCTGCAAACCGACCGAAACCGCACCGTCACAGGCTCCAATGGTGATGGTCGCGCTGACTCGACACTTCACCCAGAGTTCACTCTCGCACGTTGGGCACAGCTCAACCTGAGCGACGAAGAGCGTGCGAAGTCTACTGTGTACACGAGCGGTGAGCACTGCGCTATGTGCTCTGCTGCCCATGCGTGGTGTGGACTTGGAAGGATTGTGTATGCTTCTTCAACGGAGCAGCTGGAAGCTTGGAAGGCCGAGTTTGGTGTTAAAGCACCGGTTGCGCCGTTGAGCATCAACCAGGTTGCTCCGGGGCTTACCGTTGAAGGGCCTGTTGAAGAACTGGCTAAAGAGGTTTATCAGTTCCAAGTTGAGAGTTGGACGGCCAAGGGTTTCAAGTCCAAGTCCAAGTCCAAGGCTTGAGGTAGAGTCTGTTGATGTTTCCGAGTGAGCTGTAGCGTGGCGTATGTGGCCGGAGATGTACAAATGTCTGAGAACGATTTGATGACAGAAGCTTGAGATGTTTGACTGTAAAGTATACCTTTCAGAATTGCTTGTTGTAACATTTGTCTGTGAGCTCGTGGTGCGATGCCCGACGGTTGGATCTTGAGTTGAGTTATATGCTTGTTCCGCCAACTCCAGTAAGCAATAACCGAGCCATAGATGTCGAGAGATGAAACCAAAGACATGATTAAGATCTTTTATCTGGTATGAAATAACTTGAGGTCAACAAAATTGCCAATTGATCGATTTCGACCAGATGAGCAAAATATGTTGCCTTGTTCCAAGCTGTCCACCATCCAATCAGCTTATCCCCTGTGGCTTAGTTGGCTAAAGCGTCCGACTGTTATTCATAGACAATCGGGAGATCGGAAGTTCGAGCCTTCCCGGGGGAGACTTGTTCTCTCAGAGTTACTCTTTTTGAGTCTTTTCTCTTTTGTTCACAGGTAGTATCACACCTTGATACGTATGATTGTTTTGTTTTGTTGCTGTGGTGTAGTTATAGTTTGCCTTCAATGATCTCACCTTGAGAATACAAATCTCTCACAAGAGACAGCTCTCTGTGTTCTTTGAAGGAATGTCCAAGCAAACTAAATACCGCTAATTTGTTTGAACAAGTCAACTTGAGTTCCAGAAGTGGGTATACGATGCTGCTGCGCTTTCTGTCACAAGCTCTATAGTCTTAACCCGCTCAGTTGCTAGAGGTCGGTCAGCTTGACTTGGACTCCTGCCTATCTAGATGTAGTAAGCAAAGCAGACTGCACATTGATGAAACCCTTTGCTCCATTCTCAGTCTGGTAGATCTCGGTATTCTGCTATTGGCATAGAAGCAAAACGCAGAGCAAAGATCTCATCGTTGTGTATCCCATACAAGCACAGGCTAGGTTCAAACCACACTATTGGGAGAACACGTTTCAAAGATCAATCACAGCTCGTGATTATACTACAAGATTGAAAGGTTCCCCTAATTCCACCCTCTTCTCTTTCCAATCCAAGGTGGTTTCATCGAGTGTTGTGAGGGCAACAGTTCAGCTATGTAGTATAGACACGCATTGCATGTAACACGAATAGGAAACTGTTTATATAATATCGGTCAAAGCAGAAAAAGCAAAGAAGAGATTATCTTGTACTACAGATCGAGATGAAACAGTAAGCTAAGCCTGCAAGGCCATCGCTATGCCGGGTACGATGGGCCAACCTCGTCGATGGCATTTGAGCAACGTCACCTGAATCCTAGCCTGAGTAGTCTCATGAGTCTTGCTCACTCATATCTCAAAGATGAATTCAGCACTTACATCACTAGCTGTTCCCATGATAATAGCGCCACTTGCATGTCACGGCTTGTCTTCCTAGCGTCTCCATGGACATCATCAACCATTACCACAACTCAATACTCGAGAGAATACCCTTTAAAGCCATTCAGCTGGAAACACTGCTCCAGTAGCTGAGTGGAATGGTTAGGGGTCTATCGAAAGATGAGAAACGACCGCAACGCTCATCCCAGAGGCTGAGCTGGGCCAACAACGGCGTTTCTCTTCAGTATACAAAACCACAGGAAGCCCGGTTATACTGGTGAGTGACTTAGAGTAAATGAATTTGAACGGATGCGTTTACGGAACACGGAACAGATAAAGACTGTCTTGTATCTAAGCCTGGAAGCGAGTGCATGGCCTCTATCTGCACCCTCGTAACTCTGCGTTGTTCAAGACATGAATGAAGTAACAACGCAATATCTATGGTTACAAGGTAAAACGTTAACTGAAATCACGTCTGTTATATACCGTTTGGTCTGAGACTCCACGAGCGTTTGTCAAAGCAGTTGTGAGGGTGACACTTCTGAACCCTCTTGAGTAGGTCTCAACTCGAGGCGAACTATGTATTACGATAGAGGCACCAGAGAGAATGCATCAGATAGATCTTCTGACAGATTGTAACTGAATTCCAATAGAAGATATCCGGACTTCTGCAAACCACAAATCAGTTTCTATAGTCGAAATTGGGCAGTTGGTTAAGGCCGTTCTGAGTAACAGTACATAAACACCAATATTTGTCAAAACTGATAGATGATGAACACGAAAAGAACAATCAAATGCACCCGTAATTGGAATTCGATAATTAGCCACTTGAGGCGCATCATGAGAGCTTCAAACATGATCTGACCTTGCCCAAGTGACGATGGACTGGCACCCAACAACTTCGGCCATCCGGATAAAAGGACCATGATGCACGAGACTAATTGAGCTCAATCCATATACTCAATCAAGAGCTGACAACTATACTGCAGATGCATAAATACCCAAAGAGACTGGAAGTATGATCCGACATCAAACCTCAGTCTCGGGTATTCTTTCGATCCTTCTCGAGGGCCAAGCCCACTTCCACGATTTGCGAAATGATTTGTCCAAAACTAGACGAGTAAATCCGAGACAACAAGCCAATAACGCCCGCTATCGTGAGTTCGGTCTCGTATCGATTCATTGCATATTCACATTTCTCAGCCTCTGATGGGCTCAGATCGAGGCTGGAATCGTCTTGGCACCCGCATTCCTTTCATGCACAATGTCGAATATCGAATTCCCCGCGGAACCGGCTTCATTCCAATTGGACCATGATCGAGACAAAGGTGAGATCTAAATATTGGCCTCTTTCAGCGCCCTATAGTTCTTTAGTGGATGATTGTATGCATTGTCAGAGTACCCCGTAACTTAGAAGGGCCACTTGAAACCGTTGGCTTTCAGTGGAATCCCATCTAATGCTTGGAAATGGGTCAATTGGGTCTGATTGCGGGGAAGCCTGAAGCCACCACGCGAGTTGAGGGTTGGCGATGCAAGGGATTTCACTCATCTAATTTTCAACGTTACTGTGCTCGGTGTACCAGCCTTACGTTGCAGTTATGGAAAGTGACTGAATTTGACTGAAATGTGACGAGAACCATGACACTTGGAAGAAAGCAGTGAGACAGAAGAAAGTGGCCGAGCCTTTTGGGCAAACCCAAGGATTTGGTAGACCTAGACCCTGCCATGCGTGGGCGATGACCCCCAACTTATCACATCTGCAAGTCAGCTGAAAGTGATCAGCAGTAATGAGAGAGCAACGTTGACCTGTTAGCCCGTCAACAAAACTCATAGGAAGATGGTGTAAACCCCTCTGTAGAAACGTGAGCTGTTTTGGCATGAAGACACTAGATAGGGCCCCCACGGGGCTTCTTCCTATTTCGAGTTTGTCCATTATAGCAATTCAGTACCCGGGTTGGTGTGTCCAACTCTCGCGATTCTTGAGCTACTAATCTGGCCAAGCTTGAGTTATGATGCGCCTGGCTGAATGTCACTCGAATAAGCGTATTCCAATGGGCCGAAACTACTCGGACAGTTGAAATGTCCAGATTGGTATCTCGGCAAATGAGTTTACAGAGGTTTTGATCCCATAGCGGGGCCATGTTACCAATCACGTATAAAGTCAGATATATAAATCTTACATGCTGGCTTTGTCCCTGGGTCGATCTGATGAAGAAAGGCGGCCGACACTGCGACCGCGAGAAGACCGTTGGACTCGGAGTCTTTTGTCAAGTGGCGTTATCAAGATGTGATAGTCACCATCCATCAGCTTGGCCGCGGTTTGGGCCGCAGGTTATAGCATGGAATCGCAACTCATACCCCAGTCGCCATATCGAATGTGTGAAAGCAGCGACCGGAAGCCCCGCGGCCGAGAAGAATGTCCTCACCAAGGACCAGCATGTTACGGTCTGAAGGGGAAATGAAATGTGACGGGAAAATCACAACCCAGTGCACAGACCTGACATTTTCTGAGCAAGTGAGTTGTGGGAAACTGAGAAAAGTTGTAGCTTTGAACTGGGTAGGACTGCTTGATACGAGCTGCATGCGCGAGGTGAACCAACAGTAGAAGAAGCAAAGAAAAGGCAAGGGAGCTTTGATGTCTTTCAGATCAAGTGCCTGCAGCAATCCGTGCCCAGACGTTGCACAAAGACGCAGCTTGTGCGAGGCTGCAGCAGAGCCTGAGGAGACTGGAGACGACCGTGGGGTAACTTGTATTATAAGTTCTGAGGCCAGACAAGCCAAGCGAAGTCCCGGGATAATGAAATTGCGTAGGTTCTCGGCTAGCAAAAGTTCTTGCCCTCAGCCAGTGGCGTTGAGGCCCGGTCGTGTCTGAATATTAAGTGTGTGCAGCAGAATAGTATGTATTTGCGGAGCTGCCCACTTGCATCCTAACTATCTGCACATCAACAAGATAGGATTTTGGGCAGTAAAACACCAAGCTGTAATCCAACAACTGATAAATACGTGGTTGATGTCGGAATGCATTTGACAATGATTCGACGTTCATGACCCTCCGCATGCACATCTTTGAGGTCCAAATCAGTTATCAATTCACTGGCCATGCTGTGCTTAGCCTGCAGCAAACTATAGAAGTGAGAACCTGTACGGCGGAAGCGAGTAAAGCAAGGCGAACCGACTCAACAAGAAGGGAATCGTGACAGTGGACGGCACCTACTGCAAACGCCTGTCCTTAGCCGAGCGGTTGATAAGCAAGGTTTCGATAGGTGGTGGCGCTTGTTGGACTCGAGACGCCGTGCCCATAGAGGAACTAGAAATGCCAAGGTTGTGACAGGGAGGCTGCCTGTCGGTCAGCGAAGCTAGGTCTGGATAAGCAATCCAACTTGGGGCTCAGCCACATGTTTCTGAGACAAACATCGGAAGAAAGGCTTTACACCGGCTTGAAATAAACAGAAAGACGTTTTCCGTCTTTTGTTAGCCAGAATTGAACCAGCCATGGAGGCTGGCGTGTGAGTGATGTTGATGTACAGGTCTCAGGCACAAGGGACAATGACGGTATCACTGCCTGTATCCGTATTCACAGCTCGAGGGCTGTTGATATCCATGCTCTCAGGTGAATTCTTAGCGCAGTTTCTTTCCTGACCCCCAGATCGACTGAGTCAATCTGAAAGACAAGTGAGGGAGCCAATTCAACGGTCAAGACCCTGTTCGTTTGACCGATGCGTTGGTACTGTACCCATCTTGAGTCACCATCCCCAGTTGCCAACTAAGGAGCAGGGTGACGTGTATGAAACGCAGATATCTGCGTTGGCAGAGGCTCGCCAAAAGATATACGAAGTTTGAAGTCTGAAGCTTGAATAATAGAACATCGCTATTCTCAAGCATCATCCACCAAGCCACCCACGGTAGACAACAACTACTAGAGGTGTGGGTGTGGGTATGGTAGCACTGGGACGGGATGGACCAGGGGCACGGGAAAAAGCAAAGATGGAAAGAATCGTGTATGCGGGAGCAGAGGAAAGAGAGACCCACAACCTGGCAAACGCAACAAGGAACAGTGAATAAGGAGACTTTACGAATGGCAAGACCAAATTAGATACCAGCAAGTCCAAATACCTTAGTAAGGAAGGTAAGGTATCAAAGAGTCAGGCGTGAAAATGTTCACATCGAAACTTGCTCCTTCCGAAATATCGCATGAGGTCAAAAGTGGAGAAGCAACATATAAGTCACTGTCCGGTTGGATATCAGTCGATAGGCGACGTTTCTATCTGAAATGATATCAGTGGCTATCCTTACGATATCTCGGATATTAGGCGCGCGATATTCATATCAAACACTATTGTCAAAATTTGCCTCATCATCTGATTTTCACGCCAAGCAACGTGCTTCTGAGTATCAGAACGTCTACAGGCTGATAGAATGACATTGTTCATCAAAAGCCCATGCGGAGAGAGCTCCTTGCTCTTTCCGTTAGGAATATGTGGGTATGGACCCTCTTCGCTAGCGGGACGGGAAGGAGAGGGCGATTAACTCCCTGCAATAGAGGTGATCGGCCGGCTTATTGGCCCGTCCCGTTAAGCTAACGTGGCCAATAAGCGCCGAGAAACAGCTGTAGCACAATTTTGGCAAGCGGGGCTTAGAGCTGTAGCCAATCAATGTTAGTCTACAAGCGCTTGCTCAAGCCCCCCCATGTTTCGTTTCCCCAACCACATGCTTTTCTATCTTGTTCATCTTAACGTCGAAATGTCTCCGACAGAGGCCATAGAGCACTTTAATCGACCGTGCTATATGCCCTATCGACCACTGCAGCTGTAGAGGGCACCCACTGTAGCGTATGCTGCATCATTGTACCTGGAGAAGCATCTGTGACCCTTCCATCAGAGATGGATGGATGTTGTGTTGATGCACCCACAGACCTCAATGTAAGGTACCGACCAGTCTTTGGTCTCGAAGGAAACCCAGAACAACTGGATCGAGCATATCATGTCATGGTGCCCATTGTCTAGTGCACCAGCGTTACAGCAACTGCACTGCGTGGGAGGACGCCGTGCTGCCCCTACGCTGCTGCACTATGCTCTGCTGTGTTGTCCTGCAATGCTTGAGAAGCCACCGCTTGTCGTCGCACCAGACGCCACTTGCATGCCTCTGATGATTTCACCAAAAGAGGGGCAGCAAGGACACTGATTTCTGTGCTCTACATGATTGATGGATTCCTATCAATGCAAATTCAGGATGAAATTTGGATGAGACGACGGCGGAGATCGTGATGACCAAGGACGTGCTTTCATGATAAAGAGTTATATCTCAAATGGTGAAACTCGAGCCATTCATGCCTTGCAAATGAACAATGGAATACAATTGATTGATTGATAGGTCGAGTCCCTCGAGTCTCAAAGCCAGAATGGATCTGGAGATTTACAGGGGTCCCGGCCTAGTGAACCACACAATTTGATGCGCTATCCAACAACTTTTCTGAGAGACTTGAATTCAACGGCACGCGGCCTTCCCACGAGGCTAAATTTGGCAGGGGGCATTGCTCGCTAGACATTTGACTTGCTACGGCTCGTTGCTTGCCATTTCGCCTTGTCTTTTAAATCAAGATCCCCAGTCGACAATTTACGATGCGATGGCAATCCCACGTTGGACTTTGTTCGTCATTGCAAGGCCGCAGCCGCCGGCCACGATCCTTTCACGTCAAAGTGACCGCCTCCGCCTCAACTGGCGTCTTTTAGATCGATGTCTGATGCTATACCATACCCAAACCCCCGGTCAACGATACAAGAGGGGATCCCAGTCGTCTGCGGCTTTTCTACCCCACTCAACTTGTTAGCTCGAGTCCGAACAGCAGAAAGGTGCTCATGTTAACCCAAGCTCCCAATCCCCAACCGCCGTCAACCATCCTCCAAAACGACCCCTGGGTGCCATACTGCTTATGAGCCGGTCCGTCTCCGCTGATCCATTCAACCCAACACTCTCAGGCTCTGTTTTAATATCGTCTCTTTTCTGAATCGTCCACTGACAGGCCAGTACGCCACTCTCTAGGCGCCATCTCTTACTCTGGACCCCGACCTTGATCCATGATTGATGGTCCATCACACATAGCACACGCAGTAAAGGCACCCACACCGGTGCGAACCCTGTACCTTAGTCTTTCTCAAAATCATCTCAACCTGCACTTTTCTGCTCTGGATTTCCTTCTTGGGCCTCCCTCTTTTTAGTATTCTCTTTCCGCCTTTGCGTTGTGTATTGTGTCTCCCTGTGTGTTGGTGTCGCCTCATCACACTGTCACATCTTCAGCTCCAGCAGTTACCTTGAACCTTGATATCACAACTCCACCAACGACTGTTTACACCAGCCCCCAAAGAGACTGATCAACTTTTTTTTTTCTTCAGGAGAAAAAGGACCAAGGTAGGAATCTCAATTCATTTCTTTTGGAGTTGTCTGTATTGTCTGTTTCCTTACGCCCCTAATTGCCCATTGTACGTCTCCTGCATCTTGCCCCGGACCTCTCAACCCCTTGCCATATCTTCCGTCTAAGTCGCATGTTGTCGCTCAGCATATGTACATGCACCCGCATACACACACTTACCTAGTCTTCCTACACAAGGACATGTTTGATGGACCCTAGAATCATCTTCAAGGGCTTTCAAGCTACGTCTGCAAGTCAAGCGCCGGGTCACACCCCTTTTACATCCCCATCCCTATCCGCATCCACAACCAAGCTCTTCCTGGTAGCTACACTTTGACCTCGACCACTTTGCGCGCACATCTCTATTTGGCGTCGTCCGACCCCAGGCAATCACATCGAACCTGAGCAGGGTTGGCGGCTGTATTCTCACTGTTGCCGAGTTGCGCTTGTAGCGTCGTTTTTTCCACCGTTGCCCTGGTTGATGCTCTCGACAAGCAAAACCATTGCTCTCCCCATCTCCACACACATCGAGTCTTTCTCTACGCCTTCTTGCGTGTTTTGACTTTCTCAACTTTTTCACACTCACACTAATTCGCATTCCGAAGACTTCTCTCTCGCCTCACCGCATCTGCCTCTCGTTGCGACCGAGACATACAGCCCCAAGAGTTCCGTTCGTTGTCCAACCTCACTTGCCCGTCGCTACCCGCGTGCCCGTATCGCATCGTATCGCGCAGTGACGAAACAGAATTCAGTATAACACGATCCGAGACTTTGGCTTACCGACACACCAAGAAACCGTCATTGTCCGGGTGCGGGCAGCAGAGGATTCCGAGGCATGTTCGACAGCCCTAAAGTGTAGCTTTCCGACTGTTCCTGCGACCCCGAGAGCAACAAAAGTGTAGACCCCGCTATCGGGGGTCGTTCGTCGTCGATATCGATTCATCAGAACAGTACGTGCATCGTCGCACAAGGCGGGCATCCTTGCAAAGCAGACATAGCCCTCCGTGGTCATCCGACTGGCTAACACGGGCTCCGTTAACGCAGGTCAAGATTCAAGAAAGAATATCAGGCCCATCATGTCCGTCCCCGTGGCCGGTTCGTCACGGAATCGCACCGTATCGTTAAGTTCGGGTGGAAGGTCTGCAACAAGGAGTAAGACGTCGCAGGTCCCAGACAGCACCACGATGCCTCATGTTACCGATTTAAAGTACTTTGACCCCTGCGCCGCCACTGCGTCTATGTTTTTGTACGCCCAGGGTTCATCCGTTGTTTGCTGTCACCATGATACTCTTACCATTGAAAGAAGGTTTTCTCGACACGCTGATGAGGTTCAATTGTTAGCAGTCGATAATCAGAGTGAGGCTGGTGGTGGCCGCTTCGTTGTCAGTTACGATGCGGGCCAAACAGCAATTGTGTGGGATCTAATGACAGGCGATGAGATCTCTCGATTTGCCTGTTATGATCATTTAACTGTCGCAGCGTGGATGAAAAATGGCAATGTGGCTTTTGGTCAGTTATTGGAATGAGTTTCACATAATCATGACTAACAATTTTAAGGCAACACAAAGGGAAGCATTATCATGTTTGAGCCATCAACATCTGAACATGTTTCTTCAAGGACTATTGACCAAATTGCTGTGACTGCATTGGCACCATCAGCTGATTGTCGAACATTTGCCATCGGGTGAGTTCTTATCCTCCTCTCACTCGAGTCTCACTAACACAGTCTCAGCTACCAGAATGGCTCTCTATTTGTTGCAACCTTGCAACCACGCTTCACTATCTTACACAATCTCACCACCTCTAGAGGGCCGTCACCTATCGTGAATCTTGCTTGGCATGCTTCCTCGTCTCGGCAAAAGTCGGACATGCTTGCTGTCCAGATGCGTGACGGTGACTTACGAGTCTGGAGCGTGGCAAAGAAATATAGCGTCGATGACCCTGCAAAGGTGGTTCGAAACCTCAAGAAGGCCGAGATCTCCATGGATGGGCCCAACTGGATGGGATGGTCCAAGAACGGCCGCATAATCCAGTATTCCGACTCGTAAGTTTGCAGCTTGCCACCACCATAAAACGCCCTTGGCTACGCGCGCGCTTAGCTGCATGACCCCTATCATCAACTAACATCTGCACAGGCAAACACAGTCATGGGATGTTAGGACAAAGCACGTCACTCATGATCCCATCCCGACTCTCGATCTTGTTCGCGGCCTTGCCGTCTACGGCCCGGGTGCCACGTTGTTCACCCTTGGCCCCAATAACACCGTGCAGCAATTCGACCTGAACTCACCGGCCATCATGGTCGCCAATGTCCAACACCCAGCAAACCTGTTGCCCCCCTCGCCTCCGGTCTCAGAAGAAACTGGTGATCGATCAGCGACCTCGGCTACTACTATCGCCTCCGAGTCTGAGACGAGCTCTATTCCCCTTGACATGAATATTTCCGAGAGCGACGAGGATCACCTATCACCATTCGCTCGCCTAACTCGACGCCAACCTTACGACTCTGGTAACGAGCCTTACGAATCAGCCAGCCCTGTCTCAAGCCGAAGTGGGCTCTCATCCTTATCTAAGTCCTCAGCTGGGTCGTCTCAGACCCCTGGCCGTTACCCCGGATCCATGAGGTCGAGAGGACTGTCAGAAAACACCTATATCTCGGCTGGAACCTCGATCAGGTCATCAACTATTGGCAACAGTGCTCACGGTAACACAAGAGATTTGGACACTTATTCCATGGGATACTCTCTTGGCACTACAAGTGTTCCTTCCATGGCCTCAAGCCGATCCCGAAGAAGACCTTCGCGCCTGCGCAATGAAGTTCCCCGTAGCCCTGACGACAATAAGGTGCACGACCTATTCAAGTTTACTCGGGCACGTCTCAGTGATATTCCTTACAAGCATGCCATGGGTGCCAACAGTGCTCGTCTCACCAATGATGATCTGCGCCGTCAAATGCTCAACACCATCTTCGGATGGAACAAAGAGGTTGAAGACCTGATTAGGGATGAGATGAGTAGGCATCCCCAAGGATCTCCTAGCCGCATTCTCTTGGCGAAATGGCTTGGCGATATCGATCCCAATATCATGAACGCAAACTTTGAGAACATGACTTCTTCTGACTGGATGTTGTTGGCTCTGAGTGGCATTGGCGGCCATGCCTCACAGCAGAAGCTTGGCCATACGTACGTCCAGCGCCTACTTGAGGCTGGCGACGTGCACGCAGCAGTTACGATTATGCTTGGTATGGGTGATCATAACGACGCCATCGAGGTTTATATCTCTCACAAGCGCTATATGGAGGCGCTGATCCTCACATGCCTTTCAGCCCCTAGTGTTTGGGAACGACAAGCTGCAATCATCAGGAAATGGGGAGAGTGGGCAGTTCAGCACGGCCAACAGCAGCTAGCAATCCGATGCTTTGCTTGCACCGATCAGGAGTCTACTGAGCCTTGGACTTCTCCATCCGCCGCGCAGCTGAACTTCCAGACTATGACTCCCAGTATTCCTGAGATCTTAAGCCCACCTCTCTCACCTCCCGGTGTTCAGCGTGGCCCCCAACGCAGCATCGCAAAAACCTCTGCTCTCAAGCTCATCACTTCGTTTGGTGATCAAACGCAAAAGTCAAAGTTCTTTGCTGGTGACGGCGGTCAAACCCCGATTGCCGCGGGTGTTACCCCTATCGCTGACTCTGCCGGTTCTCCCGCTTTCTCTCATGCCTCCAACAACGAAGCAACGACTGCCTTCCTTCGTCCTTCAAACAATAGCAGATTTAATACCCCAGTCTCTGCCCGAGGACGTGGGCGTTTGCCGTCTATTGGTGAGATTCCCTCGGACCTCAACCGGGAGGCACTTCGATCTGCTGAGCTGTCTGCTGTGCCATATGACTATGAGCCTCGATCTGGTCATGCTCGAACACCATCTGGCAATGACAACATGATGATGGGTACCGCATTACAGCGCGCTGCTACTGCGAGCCCGATGATGATGCGAGAGCACGCTCAACGTGTTGTCCAACCAAGTGAGGGTGATTTTCCACCACCACCCGACCAGGCCACTATGTTGAAGATGCAACAAGCATCACGTAATCACCGCAATGGCTCCCGTGACCGCATTCCTATGGGTGTGAATCTACAGCTACATCCTGGAACGGCTCATGATGACATTACATCTCCAGAGCAGTCAGTCACTTCTTCTATCCGCTACCACTGGCCAACTCGCCGCAGAGGTCCTGCCTCTGTGACAAGTTCTGTCACTTCTGCATCGAGCGCTGGAAGAAGCCTTCGCCATCAAGCTGTGCGAAACCGAGAAGACTACATCCATAGCTTAGATGCTGCCAATCACTACTCCAAGAGACAGCGCAGTCGCCAGCGTAGCCATTCAAGAACTCGGGATGCTTCACGCAGTCGTCCTGGAAGCCGAGAGCGGACTACACGCTCCCGAGAACCTTCTGAGGAACGTGGACGTGTCAGTGCTCGCAATTGGCCCAAGGCGAAACGATCACCTACCTCCCCCATCCCCATGTCCCCAGAGGACTTGCTGAACCTGAGCACTCCACGACATGGTCAGGTCGCTGAGCCAAACACGGTACGCAAGGTTAGTGGATCAACTGTCAAGCCAAAGAGCCGTAATTCAAGCCGTGGAAGCCGCCGCAGGAGCCCAGAAGGCCGCTCTCGCCCGCCAGCTCTTACGCTCCGTGGCCGAAGTCAAGGCCGGGAGAGTTCTGCACAGCGTTCTCCTTCTTCACCCTTGCCCCTGAGTGCTGCCATTCATCATTATCAAGGCTCTGAGGATGAAGAGGACTACAGAGCAGCCATGGCTGCCCAAGAGGAATTCAGGAACAAGCACAGCCGTAGTGGCAGCCGAGGTCTTGGCTCACCGGCTTTGAGTAAGCAAGATGCTTCGGAACATCGACGCCGGGCCAACTCTGAGGTCGCCAACTTCGATGGTTCTATCTCTATCCACGGCAGAGCTGCCTCAACTGAGCATGCCGGTGATCTCAAGCAAATGAAGGACGAGCGCCAGCGAAAGAAGGAGCAGGCTGCACGGGAACTCGAGGAGCGCCGCAAGTCTCTGGCCAAGCGTGCCCAAACACCTTCAATCCCTCACCCTAACGAGTTCTCTCCCGCTCTTGCAATTACGGTTGAGACTGCTGAGCCAAAGCCGCTGCCTGACGATATCCCACCTCGCAGTGCTACTGAGCCACCACAAAGGAGCATGTACGCCCGTAACGGACCTATTATAGGACTTCCAGCGACTCCTAAAGCCATGCGACTTATTATTGAGGGCAACCATGATCAATCAGGAAGTACGCCCAGGCCCGACGTACCTAGTATTCCAGCTGGCTTTTCTCAACGATACTCGCCCGAAACTTCGCCTCAACAGTCTCCTGAGAGAGAAGAGTCAGTTGCCGAGCCCAGTCTCACTCTGCTGCCATCCACTGTCTACCAGCCACCGGCGCGACCTCCTATTCCTCGTAGCATGTCAGCCCCCATTCCCGATGAGCCTGGCCAGCGCCCCGCTCGCTTTGCACGCAAGAACAGTGTTGGGCGCATCGAAGAAGTTGTCCCTGGTGAGCGACGACGTTCTCATGAGGACCCTATGCCACCACCTCCTCCTCCTCCAGCACCCCCTGTTCTCAAGGAACTCAGGCATTTGGCTTCACCCCCTCCGCCGCCTCCTGCCCCTCTGCAACACGCACAGCGACATCAGCAGGCTGGCGCTGTTGCATCAGGCATGATCGAAATTGTCATGGACGACGATTTATCATCTGGCAATGATCAAGCTTCAGAGGCCAGCCCTCCAGCTCCAGCTTCCCACAGGAGCCACAACCGAGGCAGAAGCATTGGAGACAGCAGCAGCATCTCAGGTCGCATTCACAAGGCCACTGAGCGACTCCGCTCTGCCAGCCGCAGTCGAAAGGAGTATGTCCGGTCTCCTCCTTATGAGGCTCCCTACGAGAGTATTCCCATGCCTCGACAGATGAAGTCTCCTCCACCGGTGTCATTCAACCCCGATGTTTTGCGTTCGCCAATTGATTCTCGAAACAAGCACCTGTCGACTGGCTTGAACCGAAACGAGATGATCTAGGAAGTCTCTCGCGATGGTGGCCAGCGCGCTGTGCATTATTTTCTTCCTTTCTACCACTCCCTATAAACTTTGTATTGTTCGATTCTTTGCATGGCGATCGGCGTTCTCTCTCCTCCCGAGTCGATACCATAGTCCTTCGGGGCTTGCATTTTGGCATTGTACTTCTGTCCTTTTCTTCAAGGATTTAGATGTATGAAGACTGGAAACTACTGCATCTTGTTTCTCTCCTCGCTCTTGATATCACTTTCGGATCTCTCAAGGCCCTTTTCGCATTATTGGCAAGGATGCCATGAACGTATACGACTTTACATTTCTTTTGGTTGGACCATCAAGGTTTCTGCAAATTACGACCACATTTACTTACAGACTATGTTTAAGGGGGATGGAGGTACTTGTCTGTATCTTGTTATATTTACCTGGAGGCGGAATGTTGGAGGCAGCAAGTATTGGGTATCGGGAGGATCCAGGCTGACGGAGACTGATGGGTGAGAAAAATGGGTCAAGTGAGTGATAGGGGATTAACGTAGCGACTGCTTTATACAATGTTGCCTCGCGGCACTTGTTTGAGTTAGGGGAAGAGGAAAAGGGAATTGGAATTGGAATTGAAATTGGGAATGGGAATGGGTGAAAGATGGGCAGGAATGGATTGAAACGGGCTGGATTGGAAATGCATTTTGATTCCCCCGGTGGGTTTTAGTACTTACGAATTGAATGAACAACTGCTTTGCATTATGGCTATACTTAATAATAATTGTGTTGATTGTTTGTATGTGTGTGTTGGGGAGTATATTTCCTTGAGTAGAGAAAGGAGTGGTGATAGCTTCACGTCTCCCAGGTGTACCAGGTACGGGATGCACTTGAGGGTTCGAACCACCACAACCCGATGTCGCATGAGCATGACAAGATGATATATGGTTGACTGACTATAGGAGAGGTGATATCGATATTTTAAAATGGTGTTATTGATTAACGTCGATTGTCAAAAAATGCAAAAAAAGACAGTTGGCTGCTCCATCTCATCCACTTGCCATCCCAAATCCCCCCGCACTAACGTGTTCCCACCCGCCACGCGACGGAGGAGAGATCTCTGCAGAGTGAAACCTCCCTCAAGGGTCATCTCCAGTGCTTAGGGCCGCAAAGTTCCAGCATCGTGAGTTACCTGCACGAGTGGGCGACCACCGCAGCGTTCGGACGGGGCGCGGCGGAGGGCTGAGGTACCGAAGTACTACAGTATTGGGATGGGCGGTTGAGCGGGTTTGAACGCCTTCACCGTTAGACCATTACAGTCGAGGATAATGCTAGTACTGACAGATTATATACCTTTCCCTCAAAATGTGGCTGGTGCGGCTGTGCCTGGGCGCGACAGTGCGCGACCCCTGTAGCTTCAGTGGATCGTCAGTGAACAGCTTCGATTTATCCTTCAACACCACTACAATCACATTGCGATCACTATTATACCAGAATCATGTTTCAATAACAACGAGCTCGCTCAATTTCTTTACCATCAATCACCCCCGAAACACTCTTTACAGCCATGATCGACCGTTGAACGTACTCCAGCCTGTCACAATGCTCTCAACGTCACCACGTCTGCTCATTCGACATCCCTCTCCAACAACCGCCGAATTCACTGTCACGACTCTCCGGCCGATCCCACCAGCTCTACATACACTGCTAATCATCTCTCGAATTCTCCTCTCGATCTTCGCCCTTCTTCTACTCCACGCGCGCCTGACTCTACATCCTTTTCTCGCCTACGCCCCTCCCTCCCTCCTCAAAATCATACCAGCTTCATACCTCCGTGCACCAACCTCGACAGCCGCTCTTGCGCAGAACATACCACTACCTGTTCTCGTTCCCGTGAGTATAGCTGTGCTATGGCTATCCAGTCGAAGAGGCTACGCCAGTGAGAGCATTCTCGTCATGAGAGGCTTGGGTGTACAAACTAGCGAAAGCCCAGGGAGTTATCTTGCAGGTACAGCGACGAGGTTCATACCGACCGAGAAGATCCAAGACATTCTCGTCAATGAAGCGTTTCTTGGGTTCGAGGTGAGATACTACCTCATTGTCATAGTCGAAGGCGAGGATGATGTGGTGGTTGTATTTCCAGGCTTGTTACCACGACGAAAGATTGTGGAAGAAGTTTGGAGGGGTGTTCGGCGTTGTTTGTATGAGCAAAGAGGAGAGGATAAAACACTCGGCTAAAAGGTGTTCTGCCCATAGAGGAGAATGGATGTGCCCAGCATACGATGATATGATATAATTCTTTATTTATTTTTATCCTGAAACGCATTGTGCGATGTCTACTCATCCATGGCCTCATCTGCCTTTCGCTTTCCAATGCCCCTCTGGTTTCGCATATCTTCTGAGCTAGCATATCCTTTTCTTATAGCATATCTCTCATTCTGCTCTTCAGGAGACTGCAGCTTAACCTTTTGCAGCAATGGCACGTAGCGGCCACCCATGCGCCCACCGTTACCTCCCTCGTAGACAACTACACTGTTCGCCTGCTTGCCCGAGGGCTCAGGGCGAGTGACATGCCTCGAGGGATCCTTGCTGCGCTGTGTAGATACCATTTGCAGCAATTGGTTCGAGAGCAATTCGTCCAACTTGCGCTCCCGCCAGTACGCCCACATACCATCCATGACACCAAAGGGGCCAGGCTTGTTAAGCGCAGGGTCATCTGCGAGATACACCCAGTCAAGCCCATCGGTCTTCTTTGCCGCGGGGTCGGCTGGGGCAGAATCTGTACCAGGGAAAATGCAGTCCCAGAGCACGAGAGGCACTTCATCTGCCATGACATAGTTAGGCTTGCAGGGGTTGGCTTTGACGTCGAGCAGAGTCGTCACAACGTCAGGTGTCTCCAACTTCTGACCTGCAAGGAAGAGCACAGCAACCATGTGACGAATCTGGTGCCACAAGAAAGCAGACCCTCGAACGTTGAACGAGTACACCTTGGGGTACACGGTGCCGTCGTTGGGCAAGCCTCCTGCAGGGACATACGCGGATCCAGAAAGATATGGCAAAGCTGAGCTAACATCCTTGACCTCTTCGATGTCGGCCTCGTAAATTGTGCGAACAAAGTTTGTGATCTGCTTTCCAGGGTCGATCTTGCAAAAGTTGCGGAAATCATGCTCGCCTTGGTAGCGCTTAGCCGCCTCGCGCATCGCCTCAATGTCGAGCCAGCCATTCCTTGCACCACCAGCGCCGGGTTCAGGAGTGAAAGCAGGCTGTGTAAAGAAATATCGGTATTGGCGCTCACGACATGAGAAACGGGCGGAGAAGTCTGGTGGCGGAGACGGGCACCAGGCGAGGATGCGAATATCAGGGGGTAGAACACGGTTAAGTAGTCGAGGATATTGAAGTTCATCCTTTATATCATCGAAAGGTGGTGTCTTCTTTACGGGTTCTTCTTCTGTGCTCTCTCCCGCTTGTTCGTCAACGACCATTACCTCGCCTGGTTCACTTAGACGCCTTTGCTTTTTAGGCAAGGGTCTGTTACTTCGAACTCGAAGGCCGATGACTTGACCGAAAGCGCTGACTCCTTTATCTGTGCGACCGCACTTTGAATACTCGCAGCAGTCAAAATCGACAATCCGTTCATCTTCAGGAAAGATGAGGCATGCTTTTGTGAGAGCATTCCATAGTTCCTCCTCAATCGATGGAGCGTTAGCCATAGCTTGGAACTCGAAACCACCGTAATTCTTGCCCAGATACGCAAGCTTCAAGGCGATATATCGGGTAGAGTATTTGCTGGGATCCATCTTTCTCTTTCCCTTTGGTTTTGTCTTCTTGGCTTCATCTCTCTCTTCATTTTCAGGCTGAATCTCAGGTACAGGTTTTGGCTCTGGAGAAGGCCGATTTCTGAGTTCAGCCTCGAGTTCCTTGACTTTCTGAATGAGACCGTTTTTGGTCCATGACTGATAATTCGACTCTGCAGACATGGCGAGGTTCTTGGCACCTTGAGGCTGCACAGGAAGTTTTGGAGATTCACCACTTGATGATGTTTTCAGTTGAGGTTTAGAATGCGAGACCTTTCGAGACTTTCCTCGGCCGACTATGCCTTCGAGCGATGTTTGACGCCCAAGACAGCGGCTAAAGGGTCTCATGAAGTTGGTGGGTTCCAATTTTGGGCAATTATATTCAGGCCCGTCAGAGTTTACAAGCGGAAAAGGGCTTTGGTGCAATTCAAGATGTGGCTTGGCTGGAGATGTGGCTGTGCTAGGCTCGACGCCACAGTTGGGGGTATACTGATAAGTTACGTACAGCTCTCATCTCATCTCTATCTCTGGTCTTGATTTAATAGACGCCATATCTGCTCTTCTCGAGCTGGCCCGTTTTCCATGCATCAAACTTGAATATAAGCTTATTAACGACTTTGATACTCTCACATGCAAAATGGAGCCCGAGGTGATCAAGATTCTCCTTGTAGGCGATGAAAAGTGCGGCAAGACGACCTTTCTCTCGTATGCAGTCTAAACTCCTCTATCGATTCCTCGGCATATTATACTAAATCCATATCCCTAGCCGACTCAGTGCAGGTGAAAAAGTCAACCCGATTCCCATGCTCCGTGATATGGATCAACCTTATATCTTCGGTATTCAGACAGGGGCCAAAAAGATACAGTTCGAGTTCTTCGACACATCATGCCCGGATAACTGGAGGACCCTCGACCCTGATGCCATTGTCATTTGTTACGACATCAGTCAACGGTTGAGTTTGATCAATATGCAGAGATATGTAAGTGCACCATAAACTGTACCGAGCATGCAACTCAGACTTGATAGTGGAAAGACGAAATCAAGAGATCGTTTCTGCGCATCGATACCCTTCCCCTTATCATCCTTGGGCTGAAGCGTGATCTGAGATCGGAGCAAGATCCGAACGGAATTATATATCCGCAAGAAGGATACCAGGTTGCGCAGACTCTACGAGCTGATCGATACGTTGAGTGTTCGGCGGTGACGGGTGAATTGTTGAAGCTGGCGTTCGAAGATTT